AATAGGCTCGTGACAATATAGTTATTTACCTATAACAAGTGCGAAAAATTATACTTTTCTTCACGCAACGGTATCTGCACGAGGTGCCAGCAGAATTTGTGCAAGCTGCAAGTGCGGAAAACATACTTTACGCTCGTGTTAGGCACATTTTTTCTACGAGCGTGTGGAAAACGCGTCTTCACGCTTTGCATGCGGAAAGTACCACATTTCCGCATCTCGTAGGCAAACACGCACGTAGGTACCACACAAATAATTAGAGTGAATGAAACTTCTTGGGATAAAGCAACAGTGAGCAACACAATAAATTCAATGTAAACGTGTAAACAAATCTCGCCAACACGCCAGCGCATAGTGACGTCACAAGCGCTACTCTAGTTGCAAGGGGTCGTTTTGCTAGCCTCGCTAATTTCGTTTTTTTGTTTTCGATTTATCATAAAAAATGAAGGGTTTCTAGATGTTTTAACGCTTAATACGTGTTTTGTGGACCTAGAACCACCACTTTTTATTACAATTGTAAAATAGTGAACATTCCTTATTGGGGCCAAGTGTACGCATATTTCGGGAAGTGGTTGACCCCTCGTAATGTACAGGGTGTTTTTTTATATATTGACACCCCACCTACAGCTTTTACCTTTACAGGTAGAAGAAAGGTGTAATTTTTAGAATCCATGGTCAGAAACAAAAATTGAATGTCAGAAATGTGAAATGTTGCATGCTTTCAGCTTTTTTCAAATAGGATGCCCGATATTTGGTTCTATATTCTTGAAGAGTACAATGCCCCGATTCCAAAAATATATAGTTTGTCTATATTTGGTTGAGCAGTCTCTTATATATTTGGCTCCAAAAATTGTAAAAATATTATCCTACTAATTGTTTTTGTGAACCATTCTACCTGTACAGGCTCTTCTTTATCTATCCTTGCTGTTAAAGTATCATTTAATCTACCCTTGCGGTTAAAGTACTACTTCATCTACTATATTTGGTAGATTAAAGGCTACTTTACCAGTAGCTATGGAAAAAATAAATAATTGAAAAAATCGAGAAAAAAATCTTTGAAAAAATTGGTATAAATCGAATTCAAGTTAGTGTAAATGATACTATGTGTTTGATTTGAGTGGCATTTTTTATTTCTATTGATTGATGTAATATTGTAATTTTTGAGTTCAGAACATTATACCCACATGCAGCCTATACCCAACATGATACAATCTAACAACCAAGTTTTAAAAATCATTCCATAGGCACCTACTTAATATACAAATTTAATGAGAGCTACCAATTTTAGGAAGAGATTGCACCAAAATTCCTCTATTGAAACCAACATCTTTGTTAACATCATTTCAATTTGAAATGTAAAGTGTTTTTTTTTTTAAAGATAAAAGTAAAAATGACATTATGTTGGCAATACAATGTAAAATTGTCAATCCTTTCAAATTTTTTATGTAGAAAAGGCTTGTGCTGCCAACATAGTTATAGTCGTATTCACGAGAGAGTTTGAATTTTGACCGTTATTTTCACCAGTTGAAAATAAATAAAATCCCCAGATCTGTCCCTTTTTTTCACAACTATCAAATAATGATACATGACATTTTGATTTGACACATAAAAATAACAGATTCGGGGTCTTTCATTTTTGAATTTCGAATTTTTGTGTGAAATCTTTCAGTTTTTTGCCGTTTACTGCATTATTTTTTTAAGTATTTGTTATTATCGCAATCGGTTTTTTGGTTTTTTATGTAGTGTTCTGTGCCTTTGTATTTCGGTGTTGCGTTTCAAACCTGGTTTTAGTTTGGATTTAAGTGTTTACTCTTATTATAAGTGTTTACTTTGGACTCTAATTTCAGGATTTTTGGATTTTAATAACTTAACTTCCTTTAAAGAAATTGAAAATAAATTTTTATTCTGAAATGTATATCACTTTTCTAAAGACGACCCTGTCGTTTATCCCAGCTGTTGGAATCGAAGCGCTACGCATGCTGACAACCTAAAGAAAAAGTTTACTAAAAATGTCAACCCGAACTGTCAACTTCACTTTCTATCGTGATTTAGTCTATACTAAATTTTTGACTTGGGAAATTATCTTAAAAAAAAAACGGACTTTAGGTAAAGTATGTTTTTTTTTAAAGATAAAAGTCAAAATGACATTATGTTGGCAATACCAGCAATACAATGTAAAATTAGGTCTGTTTCTGCAGAAATCACAAACCAGTCAGAGTGAATTTCATTGGTTGAAAACACTCAGAAACAGTCAGAAAACTAGTTTCAACCAATGAAATTCACTCTGACTGGTTTGTGATTTCTGCAGAAACAGACCTACTATCAATGCTTTCAATTTTTTTATGTAGAAAAGGCTTGTGTTGCCAACATAGTCACTAAATTTTTGACTTGGGGAATTAACTTTAAAAAAAAAACAGACTTTACAGTCTATTTTTTTTTTAAAAGATAAAAGTCGAAATGACATTATGTTGACAATACAATGTAAAATTGTCAATGCTTTCAAATTTTTTATGTAGAAAAGGCTTGTGTTGCACACACTTTAGTATTTTTAATAGTATTATATGGTCACCAGTGTCACCACAGTATAATGTATGGCTATCAGTTATTGAGGGAATACAGAGGAAATTTTTAAAGTATATGTTTTTTAAGAAGTTTGGTTTTTATCCTCAACAAGGCTGTGATAATGGAATTTTATTACGTATGTTCAATAGGATGCCTTTGGAATGTCGTAGAATAAAAGCATGTTTGTGTGCTATGTTTAAGTTGTTAAAGGGAAATATTGACAGTCATGATATACTCAGTGAATTGCCGTTTGTAGTAAACAGAATGAACGTTAGAGATAAGAAGGTATTTTACCTAGATTTTCCTAGAACAAAGGACCTCGCACGGATCTTATGAGAAAAAATAAATTTCACGATTGTCATGAAATTGAAATATGTTATGCTTCTCGACCTCCTGAACTTAAATTCTCGTAGGCCCAAAAAGATCCTATGATTAGTTTCGGAGATACGGGATTGAGAAAAAAAAGTAGTACAAGAAAAATCTCCAAAATCTGCTGGTACATTAATTTAATTCATAACCAAAAATGACATATTTTTCGACAAGTTTTCAACCTTCAAAGCTTCAGATGACATTACTTTGGCATTTTTCCACCCGTTTTTAACCTAGAATATGTCATTATCTGAACTCAACATATTTCGAAATGTTTATTTTTTGTCAAAATTTTGTACCTTAATGGCCCTGTATCTCCGAAACTGATCATAGGATCTTTTCGGGCCTACGAGAACTTACGTTCAGAATGCCGAGAAGCATAACATATTTCAATTTCATAACATTCATAACAATCGTGAAATTTATTTTTCCTCATAAGATCCGTGCGTGGTCCTTTATTTAAACAATCACCTATATATCAGAAGACGAAGTGTCAAATGTTCAATAAGTATGTTTCTGACGTAGATATAGACATGCATCGATTAAAGGCGATTAACCGGTCGGTCATAGTTGACAGAAAACCAATGAAGCAAACGTCATTTGTCAACCAATCGGTAATAAATGACGTTAAATGCATTGTTCATCTGTCAATATAACCGACTGGTTAATCGCCTTTAATCGACTATGGTTAGCTTAAGGAATTTTGAGAATATTATTGATGATAAATTAGTGTCTGAATTTTTGTTTTAACTTAGTTTTAACTATTGTAATTGTATTTCTAGACTAAGCAAGCGTCTGTAATTGGCTGTTTGGCTGTTGATACTTATGGTAAATAATAGTTATTTGTTTTACTAGACAGAAAAGTACAAGATTTAATGCCGCGGCTGGTGTTTCATAGCCAAGGCATAGCCGCGGCTAGGAAACCAGCCGAGGCATTAAATTTGCTTTTCTGCCATGTAAAACATATAATTTTTCCTCCAAATGATCAAATTCACACATGGACATCTTTTTTATATTTATTTTATTTATTATTATTATCCAATAGGGATGGCAAAAATATATCGATATTTTGTAAATATTGATATAGATATATTACTCAAATATATCGATATATTTTAATCGATATTTTACATTCGATATATTTTTTTCGATATATCGGAAATTTTATAATAATTTTTAAAGTCCTGTTTTTTTTTTAAGATAAAAGTCAAAATGACATTTTGTTGGCAATACAATGTAAAATTGTCAATTCTTTCAAATTTTTTATGTAGAAAAGGCTTGCGTTGCCAACATAGTTACTAAATATATATGGTTACTGAATAAATACGACTTTAGCTCGTGCGCATAGTTCATTTGTTGACTGTGACAGTCTGACAGTTGACAATGGCAGCTAAAATAAAACAATCGTCAGTTAGGGCCTGTACCAACTGAATGAGGAAAAGAGACTTTTCGCATGATTAAGGAATGTTATTTTTTTACGATGGTACGGAAAAGTACTTTTCCGTGTGCATTTTAGGACATAAATGTATCAGGGTGACCTAACATTGCATAATTATTTTACTTTTCCACGAAAAAGTGATATTTTCATGGCCTTAAATGCGTCCAGAATAAAGCACTTTTCGCACGCTTGTAGAAAAATTAGAAAAATAAAATATATATCAATATATTCAAAATATCGATGTTTTCTGTTCGATATATCGAATGTATCGATATGTTATTTCGATATATCATATGATTCGATAAATTGATATATTTTTTTATTTTGCCATCCCTATTATCCAAATAATTAAATTATTTTGACAATTGTCATTGTCACCATCAATTTCAAATACCAAATTGAGTGAAATTATTACCTGGAAAGTTGTGAAACTGTCATTTTTAATGCCTAGGCAGTGAAAATACCACTTTTGATCCTGTCAAGTGTCATTAAAAGGCCGCTTTTACTGTCATTCGGAGAAAAATAAATAAATAAATAAATAGCAACAATAAAAGTGCCTTTATAAATCCAAATTTAAAGAGATAATAACAACAATGCTAACAATAATATACAGAAGATTTTTGAAAAAACTTACCTCTACTTTAGCACTATTTTGAAAAATGGTTTGAGCTTTATGTGAGAGTTGTGCAAAGCAAGAACCAAGAGTACACAATCTCTGTCGGGCGTTGAAGACAGCATTGGTCTCTTCAACTTCAATCTCTCCTAAAAAAAGTACATTATAAATAAATGCATTTCTGTATGTAAATAAATAAACGATTACAAGCCGGTTGTGATTTTCCAGAAAAACCATCTGGAGACATAAATCATTTATCAATAAGGTAGAAAAACACTTCAGTTTTCTATGAGAAATTGGGAAATGAAATAGGCCCTTTTTTCGCACAGCTTACCTAATGCCAAATCCAAATCAACAAAAGCTTTGTCAAATTCTTTTTCTAAAATATCCAGCCAACGAAAACCGACACTAGCCATTTTTTTTGTTAAAAAACTTGCATTTAATTTACCGATTTACTAATTTGGAAATAAAACGACGATGACGATTTTCCGGATTTTCCCTTTAATTTTCCTTTTGATTTGACACTATTGACAGTTCGACGTGTATTCAAAAAAAAAAAAACAAAACGTCAATTAGGGATGTCTAAAAATAAGCGGTTATTTGAATAACTTTGGCATAGACATAAGTTTACATCTTTTTGACAGCTTAGTTTTGCCTATATTGGAATATGGTTCTGTAATTTGGTCCCCTCAATATGATGTGTGGATTACGATTATTGAGGGGGTGCAAAGGAAATTTCTAAAGTCTCTTTATTTTAGAAAATATGGATTCTACCCACAAAGAGGTTGTAGTAATGAATATTTGTTGGGTGTCTTTGGAAGAGTGTCATTGGAGAAAAGGAGATTTAAAATAATTCTTTGCACAATGTTTAGGTTGCTGAAGGGTGAAATTGATGGTCCTGATATTCTTGGCCAGTTGCACAGTTGCGATAAATAGAATTAATTCTCGGAATTCAAACAGTTTCTATTTAGCGTTTCCCAGAACCAATCTGTACAAGAACTCACCTATATTTAGAATGTGTTCAGTTTTTAATCGTTATGCTTCAGGTATTGATATAGACATGATAAATATTGAAAAGTTTAAAAAACTAATTGATAGTAAACTGCGGGATGAGATTTAGGACGTTTGTGTTTTGTACAGATTTGATTATAACCAACCATTTTAATTATGTATTGTTTAGTTTTAGTAAAAATGTTTTAGGGTTTAATACATGTCTTTATTTCTTTTAAGTGTATTGTTAAGCTTTATGTTACTGTTAGTCTTAAGTGGATGTCTGTAATTGGCCCCTGGCTGTTGATGTCTGATTGATAAATAAATAAATAAATAAATAAATAAATAAAAATAAATAAATAACCGGTATATTCACTTCACTCATCTTCACTTTAATCGGTTATAACCGGTTATTTCACTAGCAGTAATTAACCGGTTATTCAGTCAAAAACGTCATAACCGGAAGGTTATTTTTTTCAGAAATCTGAGTTTTGAGACTGAATACCTAGGGTGAGTTCGGCTTGCTCACTCCGTGCACTCGGAGTGACTCCATTCGCACTCCAGCCGTTCGGGTTAAGGTTCGGGTATTGCTTTTTATGGTATTAGGGGTGACTCCATTAGCTCTGTTCACTCCACTCCAACTCCGCGCTGAATAGCCGAACTCAGCTATAATAGGAAAATCTTTGTTGAACTGTTAGAATTAGATAAAGATAGAAAAGTCTCTGTCGCATCATATAGTATCAAGTGTTTTGAAATTATTTTCTATTTACAAGGATTTTTTTTATTTTATTAACCTTAGCGTATTCACCATAAAATCAGTAATTTTAAAAAATCGGTTAACCGGATAAACGGTTTATTTTACTTCGGTTAATCGGGCCGGTTATTTTTTAGTAAAATATAACCGGTTAACCGAAAAAAGGTTATTTTTCGCCGGTTGAACATCCCTAACGCCAAACAGAAGGCGCTTTCTTTTATAAATGGATTCGCTCCAGGATGCGAAGACCTAACAACAAAAAGAGTACACGGAGCATAGTTTTTTTTTTTTTTTTTAAAGTTTAGATCCAAATGAATGGATTTCGACTCTTTTTTTATTAAAAAAAAAGGTATTTTATTTTATTTTTTAAGTTAAATTCAGCATCTCATCCAGTTTTTTTCTGTAGATTTCTTCTATTTTCAAATATAAATATATAAGTTGCTGTAGAGATTTTTGAAAAGCCCTATACCTATCATCGGCTATGTTCCGATCTTAGTTGTATTAGTTGTATTCCTCTCAAGAGCTTGAAACACTCGAGCTACTCGCTTCGGTGCTTAGTCGCCCCCGATTTGCAGGGAACATATGCGTGGTGCAACAAACACTTTTCGAAAGGAATAAGCGCGTGAAGCCCCGGAGCTGTTCCGGAGTTCCTCCTAGGTGTGAAAGGAATACAACTATTCCTTTCACACCTATGAGGAGCTCCGGAACAGCTCCGTGGCTTCACGCGCTTATTCCTTTCGAAAAGTGTTTGTTGCACCACGCATCACAAGGTACAGATTCTCAATCGTTAAGTCGATACGTATCGTCTCGACTCCCTGTAGAAAGGCAATGGGAAGTCGGGGTCGATAGGTTGCGACTAGAGGTTGAGAATCGGGGGGCTGTTCCCTGCAAATCGGGGGCGACTAAACACCGAAGCGAGTAGCTCGAGTGTTTTAAACTCTTGAAAGGAATACAGCTATTAACTGCCAGTACTGGATTTACTGTGCTGATTTTACTGTCATTTGCCGTTCCGATTTCAACAGCGTACTTTTCTAGTCATTCGGTACTGAATCGACTGAATCCAGTGTAATATCGGAACGGCGTCCAGTAAATTCAGTACTGACAGTTGATATCGGAACATAGGCAGCATGTGATTCATTTCTGACAGTTGACAGTTCTTTGAAATTTGTGTTTGTTTGGTATTTTGGTAAACGTAAACAAAAATCCATTTATTGGAAAAATTCAAAAAATTATAATTTGTGCAATTAATTCTCAAATTAGGTCGATTTGAAAAGAACAACCGGACTTTAATTATTTCTTCAAAGAGGTAAGCACTTTTTTTTTAATTAGATTTCTCGAAATCAAATTAAATAATATGGCAGATAGATAAATCCAAATACATAATATACCAATGTCGAGACCGAAATTATTGTCAGTGACTCATAGTTATTCCACTGAGTATGAGTAATTAGTTCTCCATAAACAAATTAAAGAAATATCGAAATAACATAAAATTCTGTTCAAAAATCAAAAATATTGCACCTAGACTCTAGACTCTGATGCGCAATGCGCAAAATAGCAGCAAATTGAGTAGATTCTAGAAAAATAACAGGTAATAGTTTAGTAAAGATCCTTCACAAAAATATCATGTTTTTTCTCTATAGACCCTGCTATAGATAATTTTTTCATCATATAATTTCATGGCCATGCTCAAAAATCTTGGCGCAAATAATTATTTATGAGCAAAGTGTTATCCACAATCCTTATACCTCCCTTTGTCAACTGGATAGTAAAATTGAAGTGCCTCAATCAACTGCTCAGAGAATTCTTGGAAAATTTAAGTATGCTCCATTGTAAAACACATATTAGTCAAGGATTCTACCGTTGTGAAGTTTTAGTTTAGTAAAGGTCCTCCCTCGGGCCCTCCACAAAAATATAATGTTTCGGGTTTAGCTCGGTTCATCTCTACACGGATGACACACAGCTCTTGGCAGCGTTTGTCCCGGAAGAATCCTGCTATTTATTTATTTATTGAAATACAGGTGGGTGAACCCTTTTAACAGTTGTGTTTAACCTTCAAACTACACTAAATTAAGGTTATAACTTAAAAGAAAAAACTAGGATTAGTTGGAGAAATGGAGAATACTAAATATTACAGCTGCCTTGGTAATAGGGTTGCCAACCGTCCTGCATTTCGGTGGACGTCCACCATTTGTTGTTCATTGTCCAGCGTCCTGTAACAACCTATCGCAGGACGCCTATTGTACTTAATTTTTAACTTAATGAAGAATTCTGTCGAATTAAGTTGGCTATAAACCTGATTCTGGGTGATAACGAATATCATATACATTACTGGAATTTATTATTTTTGACTTATACTGAGTTGAAAAACTTCTGGATCATTTTGCAACTTGTATTTTTTATATTTGGGTCCAATGAAAGAATTTTTTCGATGCGTTTAGTGGACTGATGCGAGTAATCGATTGTGCATTGAACACATCAAGGCAGAACTGCAAATAGAGATTAATTATTATTCCTATACTTGCAAAGAATTTCATGATTTTGTGAGAGGTAACAAGAAGTTAATGGTAGCTGCAAAAAGTGAAAAAAAAGTACCTGAACTTAACTTTTCATATTCTCTAAATAATTTGTTAATCTTGCGTACTTTTGAAATAAAATTTTAAATTATCCTATTTACCCAAAGAATTCTTGTCAGACAGTTTATTTATTACGAAGAAAAAAAATGTCCAGAATTTATACTGTATGTCCTGATATTTTAATACCCTCGTCCAGAAAAATTAAAAAACAAAGTTGGCAACCCTACTTGGTAATTTGTTCTATAGAAAGGTACCTACATTGCAAGTATGTGAGGGGACTTGCAAGCCGATATGTTGCAGTGTAGTAGAGTCAAATACATGCCCGTTAAATATTTTGTAAAGGTATATTAGGTTGAAATATTTTCTTCTATTAAATAGGCACATCATGTTTAAGTTTTTTAGGTTAAATGGATAATTGCTGTTGTAAATGTATGTAGCAATAGGTATATACAGTGTGTCCGAAATTCGAGTCTCTATATGGGGATTTCGCTTATTATGAGAGATACAGGGTGGCTCAAATTAGGATAGTTTTAGGGAATTTATTGCTCATTTATATCCTGTTGGTAAATTTGCTTCAAAGTTTTCTGTTTTCGAGAAATCCGAGAAAAACTGAAAATAACCAATTTTGTTTTTTGTAAAATGATGTATTACAAGCTATGAAAACGTTTTGCAAGTCCTTCAAAATCACAGTTGGAACCGATATTTGGCTAAATTTGGCAACAATGCTTATAGTTATAAGAATAAAACTCAATAAGTATAGAACGACGCGAAGCGGAGTTCGGATAAGCTTTGAGTGCGGGAAAGACACTTTGCGCAAGTGTTAGGAACAATATTTTTTCTACGAGTATCTTAAAAAAGTAGACTTTGAATTTTTAAAATATTACAAAAATCAATCGAGTCAAAATCTCCAAAAATCGTTTAAAATCTATTGGAATTCCTCAGAATGTCTTTTAAATTGAATCCCCAAAAATCTTTTAACATCTTCTGGAATTTCTAGAATACCAGCTAGAATATTTTTATGAGAGTCTCTTAAATATCAAAAATTCTACAAATTCCTAGCAGTACAGGCTGGTCCAATTTGAACACCTTTGATAGGATAGGTACATCATGTTAACTAAGCGCTAATTTCAACTAAAACCCTTCATTTTGAGTATTAGTTTATTCAGAAACCATCAAAACATTGAAAAATCAGGTATAACTATGGTAGTTATGCGTAACAAAAATGAGTGCGCAAAGAGTTTCCGTGCGCAAAGTTCAACTTTGCGCACGCAAATGAGTGTGCAAAGTGATTACTTTGCGCACGCAAGTAGAAAAAGAATTTTACAGGATTTTATGGGACTTGTGTGTGATATCATTTATAATAGTCCAGGAGGCAGTGAAATTTTTCAGCACTTATTTTCCCAGTTGGCGTCTATTAAATACTTTGTTCTCCTGGTGATACAAAGCAAGAATTTTTGAGTCTGGCTAAAATTTTCGGATGGGTTCACAAGATCGATGAAAAATACAAGTACGCTTATTTTCCAAGATATAAATATTTCACATTTACTACAATAGAACATAAAGTATATGAAAATAGCCATTTGGCTTATCTCAGATAGTGAAAGTGAGTCTGGCTGAAAATTTTCGGATCTTCAATTTTTCACTTGCCAGACATATTATCCATACTCACAGATTAGCCGGACTATTTTTTTAAGTAACTTCAGTATACTTCTCATTAGTAGACCTATTTTTATCACTGAGAAAAAAAGGACCGTGCATTGGTAAGCTTTAACGCATTTTGCGCCTCAACCCATCGGAAAACCCTCCCTAAAAATATATGTATTTTGCTTAGAATTACTAACCCTACAATTCGTCACTGCCTCCTAGACTATAAATAAGAGAAATAAGAGTGGCCCCAAGGCGGAACCTTGTGGGACTCTCGAAGTGGCTGTGTAAGTGTTTGATTCGTAATTTTTTATTGATCCAAATTGGTTTTTATTTGAGAGATATGATCTGATCAACTGACAACGGTCTGATGAGATTGAGAAGGATGTAAGTTTTTGAACTAGAATGTTGTGGTTTACTTTGTCAAATGCCTTAGCAAAATCTGTATAAATCGCATCAATTTGGTTACCATCAGCTAGGACTTCTGTGGGATATTCTACAAAATCCAGCAAGTTCCCTGTTAATGATCTATTTTTCCGGAATCCAAATTGGAAAATTGGAGTTCTGCCAGTTTAGGTTCTACATGGTTTATTATTGCTTTATAAAGTATGGATTCGAAAACTATACAAACGCTTGACAGAATAGCAATTGACCTTTTCAATTTAAAAGCCTCTCTCTCTGGCATCAAACTGTCAGACGCCAAAAGAGTATGAAAACAATGGTTGACAGCCGTTGACAGTGGTTTGTAGACAAGACCTTTGAAAGAAACTATTATTTCCTTGGGTTTTTCAAGGTTTTTTCTTAACAATGGTGATTGTGTGTAGTGTGCCTATCCATAAAACTAATTCCTATTTATTCCTATTCACCGGCGGACGTGTTTTTCCATAAGTTTCCATCAAATCCTACATTTGTCAAAACTTGGATACACAAAATCAGAATGCAAAAAGGATACTCGCAAAAGAAAGGGAAATCCACGGCCCATCAAGTATACAAAGTAATCCACGTTCAAGTTTAGTTTGCAGGAGCTGTTTGCTTTCAAAATAATCCACCACCAGCTCCATAGCGAAGTTCTGCGAATGAAGCAGTGACTTTTCCTACATTTTCTTCCCAATTTCAAACCCTGCGTTTTTATTATCAAATTTTATCGATGGATCCATCATTCTATGTCGGTCATTGTCATTTTCCATTCACTTAACAAAGAGAGCTAGGCAATTCAAACCACGTGACATTCAAGATGGCGTGACGGCCACACATGGGCCAAAAAACACAAAAAAATATCTAGTTTCTGCCGGAATTAATAGTTCAGGTACCTAGTCAACAAATATTTTATTAAATAATGAAAATCAAAGTTGTAAGCAAAACTGAATGCAAAATAATTTAAAATACGCATAAAAACATATCCAAAACAAACTTGCTTGGCCGCCACGTCACATTGAATTTTCTGTTTTGACAGATGGATTGAATTGCCTAATACACATTGACAAGCAAGCAAATTTTGGCGGGAAAATGAATGTTTTCATACTTATCGTCCATCTCTTTTAATTGAAAACGTCAATCTATATATATAAAAATAAATGCCACTTTTCGTTGTAATTTTATAACTCAAGAACGGACTCACCTAGCCAAACCAAATGTTTAGGCTTTGTTCGGACTATTTATTAGATGGTTTATGTGAAGTTTGCACAAAATCGGTCGAGCGGTTCTTCATTTATCACATTTTTTGTAATAAATTAATTATTCAATAAATGGAGGATCATTTTGCTGTCAAATTGAAACTTTTTTCAGCGTTGACAGTACCAGCATGTTGTTATGTCATTAATGTGGTCATTTCATTACTTATTTTATTTATTTATGAAAAAAATTTACCAAGCCCGCATACGGCGCCATCTCTTATAACCGATACTCAAGTTTATTTTGTATTTTGTATTTTGTATACCGCGCCATCTCTGATTCCTGGAACCAAGCTCGGCATTGCAGATACAGTAGAACAATGCTGCACAGAACTATTCCACTATTCCGATTAGATAGAGTGGTGCAGAAAGAGTAGGTCAGATAGAGTAGTGCAGATAGAGTAGAACAGATGGAG